TATGTATATATATATATAATTCCACATTTTTAAAAATAAAGGTTTAAACAAGTAGAATAAAACCATAGGATAAAAACTTTTTGGTTCCCCAGAGAACCAAACTGAACATTTTTTATAGGAACAGTTCACCCAAAATTGAAAATTTGCTGAAAATTTACTTAACCTCAGGCCATCCAAGATGTAGATGAGTTTGGATCCAGTGGATCCTCTGCAGTGAATGGGTGCCGTCAGAATGAGAGTCCAAACAGCTGATAAAAACATCACAATAATCCACAAGTAATCCACACAACTCCAGTCCATCAATTAATGTATTGTGAAGTGAAAAGCTGTGTGTTTGTAAGAAACAAATCCATCAAGGCATTTTAACTTCTGTCCTTAATCCATGATAATGCTTCCTCCAGTGAAAAAGTCCATCCACTGCTGTCCTGTCACATCAAAATCAAAGAATATATTGTTTTTAGCCCTGCCCACTACTAAAGATTTTTCTAGTTGACTAGTAGTTGTTCATTTTGAGCAATTATTCGACTAATCGCATATTTATATTAATAAACCATATAATTCATAATAATGAGCATTTCATTGCCTATAGCCTATCACCGCTCAAGTGCACGCATAAAACTTGCCACAGCACACCGGCAGAAGTAATGATTATGAAATGTAATGTTGCTACTACTTACTTGTTTCAGATAAGCCACATTTGAGGTCGATGAACGAAATGAACGTTTGAATGTCCGATGTACTGTAATTACCAAATAGACCAGCTGTTAATAATCTGTCCGTCACAGACTACGTGACTTTGCCACTTCTTGTGGATTTTTTTTTCTGCGATTAAGCAACTACTAAAATTTTGATCGACTAAGCCTCTTCTCGTCGACTAACGGTTAGTTGACTATTAGGGGGCAGCCGTGTTTGTTTTGAACTATTTAGGACTGTTTTCACTTGTAAACAGTGTTTGATCTGTGAATATTTCTCTCCTGATTCAGACGAGACGACTTTTTTCACTGGAGCAGGCAACGTTATGGATAGAGGACATCTTGATGGATTTGTTTATTACAAATGCAGCTTTTTGCTTCACAAGATGTTAATTGATAGACTGGAGTCGTAACTTGTGGATTATTGTGATGTTTTTATCAGCTGCTTGAACTCTTATTCTGACGGCACCCATTCACTGCAGAGGATCTATTGGTGAGCGAGTGAAGTAATGCTAAATTTCTCCAAATTGTTCAGATGAAGAGACAAACTCATCTACATCCTAAATGGCCTGAGGTTGAGTAACTTTTCAGCAAATTTTTATTTTTGGATGAACTATTCCTTTAAAAGAACCGTTTTTTTCTTAGTGTGAAGAATATTTTAATCATCTAAAGAAACTTTTTCCAGTATAAAGAACCTTTTGTGGAGTGGAGAGTTTCCATGGATGTTAAAGCAGCTTCATGAAACCATATATACCAATAAAGAACCTTTATCTTTAAGAGTGTATTGTAGATCGATTGATTAAGAAGTAGTATAAACAGGACACTCCAAAGTCTAAATCATGAATTCAAAAAGTTCAAATCAATAAAATCTGTTTCGTAAAAAGCATTCCACTTTACATAAGAGGGGTCAGACAACTTTAAATGTGTTCAGGTTTGCACGGTGCTCCTGCGATGCTCTTTCACATTTCGACCCTCGCATTAAAGGTTAGACGTGTACAGACGTGCCCCCCCCTCATGTAAATCGGATGCGTGTATTTATTGTATGTTTTCTGAATGCTGCTCTCAGCTGCTGTGCTGTCTCATAGGGCTGCCATGTGTCTGTATTTACTGGTGTGGGTGCTCGGTGTGCCGGAAAGTTTTCTCTGAGGTTACCTTCTTTTCCAGAGTGTGTATCGAAATCACTCTTTGATTCGTGTGTGTTGATTGGTGGGGAGGATTAAGGGGCGTGGTATGTGCCTCAAAACCCCACCCACCCACCTCACTTGGTTGTGCTTATGTAAAGTTTACAAATGTGTAATTCTTGTGCAAATACAATATATTCACAATAAAATTTTATCATTACTACCTCGGGTTTATTATTGTATTTTGTTTTCTTTCTATCTATCTATCTATCTATCTATCTATCTATCATCTATCTATCTATCTATCTATCTATCTATCTATCTATCTATCTATCTATCTATCTATCTATGTATCTATCTATCCTATATCATTCTATTATTCTATCAGATCTATCTATTGTCCTGCCTATTGTTTTATCTATCTATCATTCTATTTATTGTTCTATGCATCTATCATTCTATCTATAGTTTTTTTTTTTTTTTTTGAAAGAAATCAATACTTTTTATTCAAGGATGTACTGAATTGTTCAAAAGTGCCGGTAAGACTTTTGCATTGTTAAACAAAAAAATATATATTTCAAATCAAATCTGTTCTTTGAAACTGGTTATTTTTCAAAGAATCCTGAAAAGAAAAAAAAACAAGGTTTCCAC